CTGTGGGCAGGGAGCACAGCTGAGCTGGGGCGATACACGGCCTCTGTGGGGCACGTCCTGGGCCCTGGGACAAGGGGACATGGACACACCAGATGACAGAGGCATCTCCGCCAGGGAGAGCCCAGAGGTTGGGCAAGGGTACTCGGGGCTTTGGTCCACAAGGATCCACCACATATACCTGCTCAGAGGTTGTCCTGCCCTCATGGAGYTCCCTAAKGTTTTTCCAAYACAATKCTCAGCAGTRCTRCCATGTYTCTTTTCTCTTCATCAGAAAACAGTACTACACCTACAAAAACTCCAGCCACGACAGAGGCAGAAACCTCACAACCTATAGGTAAGGAGTAAAAATGCTCAGGCAGCATTTTTCAGGGCCAAGTTGGAGTAACAAAGTCCCAGGGAGGTGTGTAGCCCCCTCAGACAGGGAGGAGTTCCCCTGCCTGGCTTTTCCAAGTTGCTCTTCCAGAAAAGACAAAGTTGCYCAGGTTGTGGCCATAAATACCCTTCACTCTTCCCTCCTTCTCTGCTGGCCTTTGCTGCCAGGAGGATGCACTGGGTAAGATTTGAAGTTGCTCTTTTTGTGCTCAGTGCCTTTGCCTCCTTCACCAGGCAGGGACACAAGAGGATCCCTGCAAAGGGAAACCCAGGCCACCCCTGATCTGCCCTGCAGGGATTTGTGCCTGAGGCTGTTGGAGAAGGGCAGGAAGGGAGCTGGGGCACACCCAGGGACTGTRGGGTGGGGGGACAGTGCATGTGTCCATCCCAGGGGCTCTCCATACCCCACCATCCTCCACCCCAGCAGGGCTTTCCAGTATAGGTGTAGKGTCCCCATTTAATGCTGTACCTCCCTGCTACTCTTCCCTGCTACTGTTCCCTGCTGGCCCTTGCTGCAAGCTGAATGTGTTTGGCAGAGTTCATAATAGTTGTTGCTTTCTGCTTAGCATCTTTTTCACCAGGAAAAACAAAAATTGGCTTCATTAGGTTCTCTGGAAAAAATCTTCAGAGATGAACCTCATAGACAGTGAAAATTCATAAAGCATTTTCTTTTTACTTTTGTGGGTTTGAATGAGAATTCCTATTTTCCCTATTTCACAGAAAATGTCTCATCTGAGAGAACGTACTTATGGAGTGAAGGGTAAAAAGCCAGGCAGGGTGAAAACCAGAATTTGGTACCTCGGAAGACAACTGTAATTACCACACTATATACAACATATATTGAAATGTAGCTTTTAATTACTKATTAACCACTTATGTATAGATATAAAATATATATTCTAAAGCTTTACAGTATATGTATAATAACTCTGAAAAAAATGTGCTATGATGATTAACTTTGGAGCCCTCAYTTTATTAATGAGTAATGCCTGCAGTAAAGAGCCCTGCCACGGCACTGTTTTAATAAGGCAAGTAAACACCAGTGCAGTATTAAAGACACACAGGCTATTRCAGTCTGTGTTTTTCTAACAGCCTCTGATTTTGGGAATCCTTGATATATTTTTTTTTTTCTTTGATTTGGTTTTAGTTATATTAAGTAGAATTGAAGAGTGAATGCTCAATATGACAGATAAGGAATTTCAACCATGCTCCTCATTGTGATATCCTACTGGATTGTGTAGGGAAAACAATTACCATATATTAAACAAGCAAGATATGTCTGTGTGCTTTGCAATTGCATCTATACTCTCTAAAACATACCTGGTAGATTCCTTTAGTAGAAGTATATATGAACTATTCAATACATTAATTAATTTATATATGAAGTGGCTATTGCACATTCACAGAAACCCTAATGTCAAGATCTTTCATTTTAATATTAGTGGACTTCTGCCATGACTCTCCTTGTGGAAGAAATTCGGCTAAATGTATTTCCTTAAACAGCAATTTCACCTGTGAGTGCGATTATGGATTCTACTACACAGATAAGAATTGTTACAGAGGTGAGTTGCAGAAGGGCATTTATGTTTTTAGTTACCTGCTCAGGTGAATTTTTCTTCCTGTGTCTCCTGTTTTCATGTTATAATTGAAAACATAATCAGTCTGGGAAAGTGACTGCTGAGCGATTCCTTACTTTGCAGTCAGCCACTCCTACAATGACCTAGATTGTTATCTCCCAAAACAGTGACAGCCAAAGAGGTTTATGTTCTAGGAAAGGAAGGTGAACTCTGTCAGGGGTGCTGGAGATTAAAATGAGTGAAAAGCACGAGAAAAATGCAAGCGTAAACCTGACATCAATATTAATGGTGATGATTTAAAAAGGTCCAAACTCTTGAAAACTCTTAACAACCAGATTGATTTTTCCAATTGCTAAACACTCATCACAGTCGTTTTGAAATGCATCTCTGAAATGCTTCTGAAGGGCCAAGCGTGTGAGTAAATAGGGCTTCTTATTTAAGTGTCAGCAAGTAGGATTCTAAATGTGCTTGTGAGGCTTGAGAAGGTCGATTCATAATTACTTTCCCAGTAAACCACAGTGAACCACATTAGATGCCTAGTAGCTGCAAATCTGGAATCCTTAATATACACACTTTCTCACTAAATTTGGTAATGCCTCACAGAGTCTTTTAGCTTCAGGCCATGCTGACAGTTTAATGTTATTCAGTTTCATAATCAGGACAGTTTGGTTGAGCCCAGGATTCTGCCTTTTTCCCTGACAGCCAAAGCACATTCCCCCATTGWGACTGAATTGATTTGTCCTCTACTGATCCCTCCCATATATGAAAAATTGTTTTCTGCATTGTATTTYCCTATCCCTGAAGGTTGGAGAACTCTCAGGTGAAACCTGGCTTTCTTGAATGCTTTCTAATTTACACTTTCTGTTCTCATTCCAGGACAAGTATACCCAGCCACCATTGAAGTGCAAATGTCTTACACTGGTAGTATTCCAGCTGTAAATTCCACYGAGTATGAAGAATTGTTTTACAAAGTCTCAAAATTTGTGAGTGAGCATGATTTTTTCCCCCCCATATATTTAATGCTGTATTTGGTGTCATGCAGGCAGARAGGACACTCACTGTCTATAATGTGTGGCCCAGAAAAGTTCCCTCTACTCTCACTCTACTAGAGATCTACTTCTTTCAAAGAATGTTTCACGTCAGTTTGGACATATTTATAAAAGACCTGAACTTTTCCCTCAGAAGAGCACATGGATGGCTCTTGCTGAAGTAAAGGGAATCCCTGAAGTAATATCTAAYCAGTACCATTTCTATTCTGGGAGTCCTCACATAAATTTCTCTGCATCTTTCACCATKCCCTCTCCTGAAGCAATGGGGCTGAGTGAAGTTTTCCAGCCTATTGAGTTTCTGATCTCCACTGTTTGCTAAGGTTCAATAATTCTCAGTGGTATGGGTGAAAATGAACAACTTTGTTTTTTTTTTTGTTTTAAGAAAATTATCATTTCCACACAGCACAGACTTTTCAAAATGGCTGTCCAGCTGTGTCTAAATACCCATAAGCCTACCAGTTATTAGTGATATTTATACTAGGCATTTTTTTGTAACACTATAATTATACATACAATCTGGTAATAGATTTCCTGGAGAAATTAGATGAACAGTTTAATTAATACTGCTATAGTGAAAAAAGTGGATTTGCTTATGTCTCTTTCTGGCAGTAGGGAAGAAGAGGTATGCAGCTCTACCAGATATCTGATGAAAAAAAATTCACCAGATATTAATCAGGAATCATAAGAAATGGTTATCAACTTCTGCTTACCATTATATTGCTTCCTATGAATGTTTTCTTATCAAAAAGTGACCAAAAATGTTCCTCCAGAATGTTAAAAAAATATTTTCCTCAATTATTTCATGATATAGCTACAGGAACGCATGATTTATAGGACTAAAATAGACACATTATAGAATTTAAAAGTGAAAATAGCATAGAAAATAACTGTATTTTACTGCAAAGAAAGACAGCTTACTGTTTATTTCAGTTGGATTAGACATGTTATCCTTTTCTCATGGTGCTTCCTGCTTGTGTGGCCACTGAAGGCAGCTGCTTCCACTAGTTGTTCCCTGCTTCACGTGGGATGAGGGAGAGCAGTGATTTTTCTACTGACCTTGTTTAGCTCCCAATGCTTTCATCAGTTCTCCTTCCCACAAGATCAGCCCCTGAGGATCCACTTCACTGCCTCTCAGGGACTCATGCCATCTCTGAGGAGGCTGACTTTTCCCTCTTCCCTCCAATTGTACATAGAGACACCCTCCTAAGCAATGAGTTTGCAAGGGAGTATCTGTAACTATCTGCCACTTAATCCCAGTGCACTGCCTGACAATCATTCTCCATCCCTCCACTGCTCTTCTCTATTCCTCATTCTTCCATATTCTACAGCACCACCCCACTGTTCCTTTTCTGCAATATCTTGCTTGGTGGATTTAATAGATCACCTTACTTTATTTGTGYTTTGTAGTAGTATATTCTGTATTAAAATTTTACAGCTGAATCCTCATGGTTCATGTGATTTTGGTCTATGTTTCTGCTTGCCTTGAACTCTGATTTCTTTCTCTTTTACAGTTTGAAGGGGCCTTCAAAGATCTAGACTACGAACAAACTGTCATTGTGGAAATTCGGTAAGTTTGCCAGTTTGTTTTTTTGCACAGTACATACTTCCCACAGACCCCGTTTTAATCTTTTTCCCATTAAATACTTATTTCAATAAAGGATATGGGATGAGTTCAGCTCAGAATTCTTTCCATTCAAGGAAGGATGCTGGCCCCATTTCTACCCCAATATGTCTGTGAAATGGGCTGGCTGAGGCAGCTCCATCCAGCAGGTTGTCCTGCTTTTAGCACCATGTAGGATAAAGCACTATTCTGTAACCAGCAGTCCCCTGTGATATCTGACACATCTGAAATTCTAAGCTAACACTGAGGTTCCCATTACTACTGTRATTGCTACCCAGCTTGGAGTCCCAGTTTAATCTAAAAAACACCYTCTTTACAGGAGGCATAGAAGATGCATTTTATTGTGCATTTGTGGGTGACTGCTGATGGCAGTTTGAGCAAAGATGTTGCTGAATGGGTTGTGGTGACTGTAACTGTGGGCGCAGGTCTCTTGCTGCTCTAGATAGACCCTGTGAGATGTCCCTCTCTTCCCATCCCCATCTATTACAGGTTACTGTCCCCAGAGCTCTGCCAGCTTCTTTGTGASTATTTCCTAACCCACATCAAGCAAAACCTGGCATGCTAAGCACACACAGCAGTGTCAACCCTTCCAGTGAACCCTAGGGATTAAGCAGCTAAGCAGAGTGTTGTCCCAACAGAATTGTGGGGACAGTAACTTCCAGCAGAGCAGTTGTGATGTGGGGCACGGTAACACTTCAAGGAACCAGAGCAATCTGCCACTTTAAGATATTTGTGTGYGTATCCTGGCAGCATGATGTTTACCTCAAGAACAGGGAAGCCACTGCTGCTCTCTACCTGAATCCAGGGAGGTTGCTGTGAGCTGAGCCCAACCCACTAGAGTGTAGATGGCACAGACAGCTCTCATTGCAAGCAGACCCTTCTGCACTCATTGCAGTCATACCCTGAGTTATCCTCACCATGCCTCAGGGCAGGCTCTCCACATTGTGCCTGGATGACACCACAGGTTCATGGAAGCATGTGAAAGTCAGGGTCTAACTGGTGAGGTCCTCCACACTGCAGCTGGCTTGAGGTTAACCCAGTTAGAAAATGTCAGCTGGGTTTCAATGGCCCACAAAGGAGCAATGTTAGCATTAAATCCAACAGATAGCTACTTATACCTGACCTTCTGGAAAGATGGCTTTTAATGTATTCCTGAGCAAGACTTACACTCATTTTCAGGTCTCTTGACAACTACCTACATTATGCAAAGAGAGAAACTGGGGATGAGAGGGAGATTTGGCARAAATTTTCTTGTCTTTGTGTCTAGCTTGCTACCCATATGGATTATGTGAAACTTTAAAATGGTACTATCTGTCCTTTTCAGATCTSTACAAAAAACCAGAAATTCTCWTCCACTGAATGTAACMGTGACTAACCTGTTCATGTTGAAYGCAACTGTAAATGACGCCTCAGTTKWTTCTGCAGTACAGAATGCAATAAGTACTGAAGGAGATAGGTCCTTTGTCTCTACATACAAAGGTATGTAACTCCTTATTGGGGAAGTAATTAATCAGCAGAAACAGAGATTCTTAAAACCTGGTTAGAAGATTTCTGTGGGCATAAAAGCCCATCAGATCATAAGCCTTGTTGATTTTAAGGAGCTCAATGTTCAATCTTGGGTAATTTTGAAGATTCAGCCRTTCAGTTCTAGGCTCTTTTGTCTTATTAAGGCTTTCTACTTCCTGTGTAAAGAAGAAAAGAAAAATACTTATTGCCTGGTAAGCAGTGGCATGGTGGTTTTGATCAGCTGAATGTTAAGTGGTGGGAAAAGTCAGGATAAAATATATATATRCATACATTGTGCTTCTGAGAATTAGCCAGTATTTCACTGGCAAAATAAGATGAAGCCCTCTCTAGGTTTCTCCCATAATAAGCCATGGTAACTGAAATGAGGCCTTACTGATTAGCTACTGAGATAAGTGATCTATTGCTCTAAACCAGTAAAGTCTTGCATTACTAAAAGTGTAATATTTAGTGTAAATACTGTGAGAAAGATTTTCAACTAAAATAAGGATTTTTTTTCCTCTCTTTTTATATATTTATATAAATAGATAAATCTCCTATTTTGAAATCAGCTTTCTCAAACAGCTAATAATTAGGAGTCCGTTTCATGACTTAAGGCCTGAGTTTGGTCTCTGAAGGTGACTGTATCCACCTCAGCCATGCCATTTCCTATGTGCTGGTTGTAGGCATGAGGAGGAAATAGAAAACCACTGAGAGGTCCCAAGGCACCAGTGCAATCACATCCCTCTACAGCATGCCATGCATTAAGGTCTTTAAACCATTCCCATCATAAGGACATGGATCTAAAAAACAACACACATTGGATACACTAATGCTGCTCATGAAATGAGCTCCATGCCCATAAATATATCTCTCTAGAACTGTAGGGGTCTCAAAGTTCAGTTGGGTAAAAAMCCTGAGAGAATAGTTATGGTTTTTCTCTGTAGGGTTTCTTTTTTAAGATGAGTCAGAAAGTCAGTATTCAGGATATGATCTTATGGGTAGAATGTCCAAGACTGGAGCCAGGAAGGTCTGGAGGYAGCTCCAGGAAACTGAGAAGCAGAAGGACAGAAGATGTGATGGAAACAGGACCTTAACTGGTAAAGAGCAAGGGGGAAAATAAGGACCAAATAGGTCCAAAAGCCTGCAATATTGATGGCCCAAAAAAAGCACTTAACMATTTTTTCTCTTTAGAATTACTAATTAATTGGTTTATGATTTACTGAGCAAGTGCACTGCTTTCTATGAAATGGTACTCACATTTGCTCCCTGTTTCTCTTTTAAAGCGGCAAAGCATTGTGATGTTTATCAGTGTGATACTAATACCGCTGAGTGTTACGTGCAGGACACATCTGACATGACTCCAGAGTGCAAATGCAAACCTGGTCTAGCAAAAACACAATGGGATGATCGTTCTTGTTCAGGTAAGAACTTCACTGCTTCATCTTTCCCTGAAAGGCTGACCTGCTTATTCACTGTCTCAGTCCCTATTTGAGGAGGCTGCTGAGCAAATGTGCTGACCTCTAAAAATCTGAGAATGTGTGTCCTATGAAGAAGGCTATGGAAACACATMCTTTTATTTCACTTTAAACAAATCTATAATTCTATTCCAGTAGAAAAAAATGCTAAAACTTCATAAAGTCATCACTGAAAMCAGTAAATAGACAAGTCTTTGAATACATTGTTAGATTCCTGGTATGAACTGAAACCTAAACAGGTAAAGGATGGAACAAATTGAATTCTACACTCACAGCCTTCTCTGCTAGGACATATTTTGGGAATAAATTCTACATATTACCTGAAAGCAGCTGGCAGAATTGGAAGTTTCATGATGCACTACAATGACCTGTTAAGACTCTGTCCCTTGTTCATAATTCTAGGTTTGCATTACCTTCATTTAGACAAGTTTTTGTAAGAATGATTTCTGTAATTTTTAGGAACTGTTAGTTGTTGGGTGTTTATTTACTTTCTTGTTTTGAATCTTTTAGTGAGTGCTCTGTTTATATTTTTAGCTACCCTCCAAAGCCCCTCCAATGTGATGTACCTTATTTTCTTTGAAATACCTTATTTTCTTCTTATGGAAACTAAAATTTCCACACTACAGAAGGGAAAAAAGAGTTCTAAGATATAAGGTTTTAAGAAAAACAACAAATAATTAAAAAATCCATGATAAAGTTATGAAAGCTGGCTACAATAAATCTCAGTGAGATGTGATCCAGTGTAGGCCTTTGTGTCCCCACGTGTCTAAGACTGCCATACAAATCATCTGCTGTGAGATCAAGTTGCAGGTCATTGTTTGCCTRTGTAAGATGCAGCCTAGACAGATTTCCTTATTGATGAAGCTGGATGATTTTAAACACAACCTGTTTACTTCTAATTTTGTGATTTTATATTTCAGTTTCTGTTCTATATGGGAACAGTTCTAAAAAAAGCCATTCTGGTGCTTTGAAGCACAAGAGAAGTGTGTGTGTGTGTGTGTGTGTGTGTGTGTGTGTGTGTTTTCAATGCAATAAAAAATTTCTATCTGCAATTCACTCATATTTTTCTCCCTGAAAATACAGTTTGCAGTGAAAGCTGTTCTGCAGATAAACACAAGTACTGCGTATATAAAAACGGGGCTCCATCATGTGAATGTATGATTAACTTTAAAAGAAAGGTTGACGACTGTGTGGCGTAAGTACTCAGCTTTTTACTGCAGTACTACTTTGTGCTCTAGGCAAAAGTAGGGGAAAAGAACATCTAACAAAGGGTCAGCTGCAATCCAGAAGAACAGGTTGCAGCTAGTGCATCAGAGAGGTGCCCATGGGGGTTAGCAGGTGGACAAACTCCCGTGGTGTCACAAGTTGTGGCATTTTTACTCTTTGGCATTAATCTTTTGTGTGCACTCATAATACCTCAGAGGAAAGTCAAGGAGACCCAAGGTCACCCATGAGTGAAGAGGATAAACTGCTTCACCATGTAAACACAAACTACTCCTGCAGAGTGGCTGAGCCATGGGAAATGCTATGCTGAAGTGTTTAGTAAGCAACAGACATTAGAGCAAGACTTGCCTCCAACCCCTGGAATGTTTGCACTGCTATTAGTGAGGACCATTTCCTGAATAACTTTCAGACCCATGTTATTTCCTCTTGGTTTTCTCTCTGAGGGTATTTCTGTCAGCTTAAGATCAGAACAGGACAGTGGTGTTTGGCGGTGAAGCTCAGTGAGTGGCTGGTTGTGCTCTGCTCTGGTGGATAAGTAGAGACTTACTCCCCATATCCATTAATTCAGCTCTTTTTGTAGTCATTGCTGCTGCAAACTGAGCACTTCTTACCATGAAGTTGATATATTTTAAATAAAAGAAGCTACTATGGGAGGAAGATAAAGAGTTGCCAGTCTCATAGACCTTATATTGAGGCTTTTGTTAAAGACAGTATGTGGCAATTCCAAGAGGTGCAGAGCTTAGTTCTTTAGAAAAAATCAGTCTTTTTAACATCTTTCAGACWGAGAACCTGAAACTTTGAGTACACAGATCACCAATCATTCTGAAAATCTTAGATTGTTTCATTCTAATGAAAGTAAAGAATTCAATATTAAGAGAGGATTAAAGAGGAAACCTGTAATGAATACACTTTGTGGAGAAATTGCTGATAAATGGGGAAATATGCTATTGTTTTGTGATCATAAAATCAGGAATGGTTTGGATTAAAAGGGACCCTAAAGATCATCTTTTTCCATTCCCCTTTTTTCTATTTTCTCTCCTGTAGTTGTGCAGTGGGATTCTCTGGGGAGAACTGCACGGACAGTAAGTACAAGAATTTCTGCTTTTCAATTATGGAATTGAAAAATACTTTGTAATGCCTAATCTGTCTGAGATAACAAAAAGGTATTAGCTTTTAGGAGTGCCACCATTCTGCATTTATAAAAGGAAAAAGAAGTACTCCATTGCCTTACATGCCTAGGGCATGGGAAGAGCCTATTTGAGACCTAACAACATAATTTAGCAGCAATACCAGCTTAAACAATATCCTATATCCTCCAGGTTATCCCTGTCCCTCAACTACACCTACATGTAAAACCAATCAGAGCACAGTAATAGGAACTTCAGCTGGGATCAAAATAGCCATCCACAGAGATGGTCTTTAATGCAGATGCTTAATTTTCATTTTTCAGTGCCCACACCAAGAGCCTGGGAATAAATGATATCTTTCATATTTTCCTGTTTTTTCCTTTCCCATTCCCTCCCCTCATTTTTYAATAATCATCATGAGTTTTCTATTGATCAGTTGAAGTTTCTTTGCTGGTTTTTTTTTCCCAGATAGTGAACTCATCCTTATAATAGTGGGTACAGTGCTTGGAGCCATTACCCTGAGTTTAGTGATAGCAGTCTCCGTTATTTCAGCCAGGTAAGAACATTTCTTACAATTGAATAGAAGCTGCATTGCCGTGTGTTCATAAAAAGGGGTTTGCAGCAGTTATRCTATAAAAATCTGTTTCATGCTTCAGAATGGCACTGAGCACTCAAAATAAGGTGGGAGGGGACAACTCAATATGTTGGACATCGTAAGTAAGGTGCACTAAATAGTCTTTTAAAATCTCCTTTGTTCTTTCATTTCCTCTGAAGAGCAAACCGCAAACAAAATCCAGAAAAGAGGAGACTGATAAAGCCAGGATATTCCGACAGTGATATCTCTGATAGCAGACCAAGCATGTTYCCCAGGGTCCAGACCACTTCTGGCCATGCAAACCCAGGATATCAGCCCAACAACCCCTACGAGATGCGTCCCACAAATAGAGGTCATTTTCCAGAGAGGGATTATGATGATTTGGTAAGTGTTTCACGTAGTTCTGTGGGAATGGAATTCCTGAACAGCAACACTGTGGGCTACAGACATTGTTGGAACCTCAGCTCCCCTCTGTACATCCTCTCTTGGTCTAGAAGGCCAAAGTCGTATAAAGGCACTCAAACAATGGTAGCTGCTGCTGAAAAAATTGTCTTAATACAGAGATCAGCACTTTAGAAGACATTTCTAAAGCCCCAGTAGTCATTCTTGAGCCACAGGAGGGATATGTGAAAAGCAAGGCAAGGGTCAAAGCAAGAGCTTGGCTGCCCAGTGGTCTGCTATGTCACAGGACATTTGTCTGCACTGGCCAAATTCATGCCTCAGCACAGATATATTTGCAAACACCACAGGCTGCAGCCACCTGAGCTTCTTTTAGGCTGATGTAGAGTCAACAGGTGCTGCAGTGGCACCTCCCAGCTGCAGCCTCATGCAAAATCCATATCAGTTGAAGCTGTGACAACCAAGGGATAGTGTCCTCCAACCTGGCATCCTCATTCCCACCAAAAGCCTCTGCAGCATTGCAGAGGGAAAAGGTGTGAAGTGCCATGAATCATCTAGAAGAGCTTTTGCACTGCTGTAGCCCAGGGAAGCCTGCTCAGCAGAAGTGTGTCATTACCTGGAAAGCATGATTTTTAAAAAAAATGCCTGTTTTTATACTTGAATTCTGCAAGGGAGCTATGATGGAAGCCGAGATTTGAGATTAGCTCAGTTTGGGTTAATAACAACAAGGCTGTGGGATYAATCCCTGTATGGGCCATTCATGCAAGAGYTGGACTTAATGATCCTTGTGAGTGCTTATTTCTCTTYTTTTCTTGTCTAAATTCTCTGTAGTATGAAATATCACGGGAGCCWGGGGGCTTTAGGATGCAAAGCAGATATTGAGTGACCGGAGCAGTAGAAGGATGGACAACCATCACAACACTGGGTCAGAGCAAAGAGTTTCACAAACTCTCACCAATGCAGTCACATCAGCAGAAGAGACAACAACATCCTTAACCCCAGATTCTCTCAAGATTTTYCAAAGGAAGACTCCTGCTTGAAAGAGATTGTGGACAACTTTGAAATAAGGGAAAAATCGAACAGAGGGTAGAAAGAAGAAGAGGACTTCTTTTAAAAGAACTAATGGGTTCCAATAAACATTAAACTTCTTTCAGGAGGCCAGTACATTGGCAAGAGACTGAGTGGAGACAAGATACCAGGATATTAACCCTTCTGGTTTTCAGTTCTTCTGGAAGATGATCCAGGCAGTATGTGTGTGACGCTGAAAAATGTCAATACTCAGAACTGCTGGATTTGTGCTTACTCAGTTTCAACTATGGCTTTGGGCAGATGAAAATTGTTTTTCATGAGAACCTGACCTTTTCACTTTACTGTATCAGACACAGTTTTTTCACCCTCCTCAACCCCCTCAATATTTCCTATCTGAAAGCATTCTGTTCAGATCTCTGCTGACATGCATTGTATGAGACAATGGCACTTGTCTGACCTTTTCCATATTTTCCAGCCTCCCTTCCCAATACAATGACAAGATACAATGTCTTCAAACAAACGCTATTTTTCTTCATCTTGCAAAACGGCGTTGATTTTACATTTTTAGCTCCTGTGGAAAATGTTAGCATTTTTTTTTTCTCTTGCAGTCTTTATGTTTTAATTATCATAAGCTCGGTGTTTGGGTTTTTCTTAAAATTTCTTACTTACAGTCAATCAATCTGTCTGTAAAAGAATTTACATTTTACTGTATTTTACTGAGAGTGCATTATCTGTTGACTGGCATTAACATTATAATTATATAAAATACTTATATGCACACATGTATATATATTTATAGGTTATGCTCATTTAAAGTATCATTTAATTCTGTTGTATTTTGTGKTTTTATATATGCAGATTAACTTTTCCTATTAAACATTATTTTTTCTCAATACCAAGTCTTTCTTGTRTTCCTCCCAGTGATTTAAGTGTGGTTTTTTTTAACTCCAGAGACTATTTCGTGTTAAAGTTGGTGCAGGGTTTAGACACAAGTGTGTACATACTAGTTACATTAGCACACAGCTTTCGCTCAGAGGTTCAGAAATGTTATTAAATCCTAATGAAGCTGAAATGTTTGTTGTTGTGAGACAGGCACTAATTTTCAGTGGTTGCTTTTGGTGGGAACAAGGTAGTTAATGCAGCTGGGTGTCCTTTGAAAATGCAGAAAGCTGTATTTTCTGATGGCAGCTGTCMATGGCACAGCTGAAAAATCAAATGTCTTTCAGTTTAAATGACAAGTTTGGGGATCAGGGATAGAGAGCGCTGCATGTGGCTGCAGAGGTTACCAGGATATCCATGCAGATGCTTTTTTCCAGTGCTCTCTGTGATCAAAACCAGCTCTCACTTGCCAGTTAAGTGATTGAAAACTAGGAACTAAACGATTGTGATCTTCCTCATGTGGCTTCTCTAGCAAAAGAAGGTAGACCCTGCTTTATCAGAAGTAGCCTGGTGAGAAAAGGCACCATTTTCTCTCCATTGTTGTTCTGAGGTTTTGCTATTTCTTTCTTTCAGTTCACTCCTGTCCCCTTTGCTGCTGTCACCTGGCTGCACAACGTCTGCCATTGGCAGGTTCTGGTGGCCTCAGCCAACCCCACCATCTGTGCTCATCTCAGCATGCTCAGCGTGGCTCCCTGGGARCAGGGCTAGCTGGGTTTAACTAGTCAGGATACCTTGCTCAAAGGAYAGCAGGGATTGGGGCTTTCTTGAGTTTTCCTCTGAGAGTACTCGCCCATGAGGACCAGAGCAAGGCACRGTGGCTACACTTATTGCAAGAGGCAGAGGGACCCATTCTTCCTGAGGCTAGAAAAGCCTTCAAAATCCTGCAAGCTGGAGGAGCTCCCTTCCCCAACAATTTAATCTGTGGCCTGCCATGCCTGCCACCCCCTCCTTTTTCTTTGCGTCCTGTGGGTCTCTAYGATAATCCGGGTGAAGGAGATGCTCCTGGCTTCTAATCCTTCTGCTCAGTCCTTTCCTTTTCCCATTTTCTCTGACTTTTCAGCAGCTGGAAAAGGTTCTGCTGTCAGCAGCACTCTGTTAACCCCATGCAGACTCCACTCCTAGGAAGTCTGCATGGGTTGAGTCACTGRAAAATGAACAGGATAAAAGCAGAAACTGGCCAAAAGTCATGAAGATCAGTGAAGATTTCTATTTCCTTCAGCTGGCTACTTGCTTGCATACCTTCTCCTCCTTGTCTTTGTATGGCAGATTGAAACTCTGGAGGAGCTTACATGGAGCTGAATACAAAGATTTTTCTACACCAACAGTAACAGCCCACTCAAATGGTCTTCACAGTCTCTCACAGAGGTAAAATATCTGGGTCCATGCATAAAATATATGTAACAGTAGCCTGCTACAGAGGCGTGTGGAAAGGCTTTTAGGTGTTATCTCCTGCAAAGCAATAGAGGTTGGAAACACAGCTGAATGATAAATGAAACTTTAATGCAGTAAAACTTTATTGAGGGTGTGATGTCCCAGCATGTGCTATCACTGGTAATAAAAGCAACAAAAATAGTCAGGTGTTTGCATCATTTATCTGCAGAGGAATTTTCATTGCTCTAATTCAAAGCTAATTTCGGCAACTGCAGCCAGTTCTCATTTAGCCCGTGCTGGGGAGGGGCCATCAGATACCACTGCGAGCCTGCTCCTTCTTAGCATTTCAAAGGCTGCTACAGTTCTACAGGACTGGAATTCTGTACCGAAAGGGCAAACTCTCAGATATTTCACTTCTGTTTGTCTACTAGCAATGTGTGACTCTTCTGGGAAATGTAATCATGGAAAATCGCTCTTTGTCGTGTTTTATGACTGCTGCCTCTTGACTCATTCTTTTTTTCAGCTGCCMGTCCTTCAGCATCCAAGCAGGCATAGGAAAGGCAGCTGAGTTGGATCCTCACTGTCTGTGAGTGTGGACATGCCTCCACAGGCTGAGAGGCTCTGGGGTCTGCCACAGCTCATGGAGCACCCTGGGTTCTCCCATCCATCTTCTCCCTCGAGGTGCAGAGTGTCCTGCTGGCTCATGACACGCAGAGGCAGTGGGAAGATGCTCCACTCGTCTGCCACCTGCTTTTATCCTAGRCCAAAAAGCACTCTGGAGAGTGTAATTGCTTGGCATGTCTGCACAGGGTGTGCTAAACTGTGCTAAGGGAATTGGGACAGAGGTTTGCTTGGTTATAATATGTACTGGCTTGAGAATATTGGGGTAATTTCAGTCGTATGACATTCTCCATCTGTTCRGATACACCCAAGCATATTCCAGCAATGTGGGGTGGGAGGGGAGGGGCACGGTGGGTACTGGGGATGGCAGTGGGGTAAGAACCTGGGTGTGGGCAGCTTCCTTAGAGGAATTGCACCTCAGGAATGTAATGGGATGGCAGGATAAGAATGGGTGGGGTGATCAGGCCTGCTGCTGATAGCACTGCTCATACCTGAAACCAGCCTCAAAACAGAGACCTAAACTTCTGCATCCACACACCCCCCAGCAAAGCCCAGCATCCAAACTTGCATGTGAGAGCAGGACATTTCAGGCCTGACTGCAGAAAACACTTTGATYTTTTTCTGGTTACCTGTTGGTGGAAACCACCTCTCATTTCCTTTAGGAGACTGTTTTTACATAGGTCCTGCACGTGGTGTGCCAAGCTGGAGGCATGAACAAGTGAGAGTGAACAATGAAGGTAAGACACCACTGCAGACCAAGGGGCTCAACTTTTCACCTTTGTGTATTTTTGGTGGCTGGATGCTTTCAAGGTGAATGATGGCACCCCTTCCAACAGAAGGGACAGGGGTAAGGGAAAAGGAACCTYTCCTCTAAAAAGAAGTTCACCTCCTTGGTAGGAATGGCTTCCCAACAGAAACCCCTSCTATGGAGAGTGTTTGGAAAAACCCCGGTGAGGGTTGAAGGGATTCAGGCAGGTGTCCTGGTGAACATGACTGTCCCTAGCTGATTTTGGGGAAACACCTCAGCTTCATGCCAGGCTCAGGAGGGTGAGTGGACCTTGGTACAACCCAGAATCAGAGGATACTGCCAGTAATTTGTGGTTCAAACCCAATAATCTTGCAAGGCAAGCCTAGTGCTGCCTCATCTGTCACTCCTGTGAGAGGATGACTGTCATTTGTCAAGTTTGACAACTGCAAAGTCATCTATTTCTATTTTACCCAAATTTCCTATCCTTCGGCCTTTTAGTTTTAGCCCAGTAATGCTCTCTGTTTCAAAGCCGTGTGTCTGGTGTTTGGGGATGGAGTAGCTTTGCTTATTCAGGGTTCCCTGGATGATTAAAYTGACCTCTACCAGAGTTTGGGGTGTGTGCTGAAAACAYTGACCTTTACAGCAACYTTGCAAAAAAAAAAWTCCCCAAACCCAACACTAAAAGCCCAAAGTGGTCTAAGAACAGGGAAACCCATAAAACATGTCAGATCACAATTACACAGGAAAGAAACAGGGCTAAAAATAAAAATCTATAAATTGCCTTGCCAAGGATGCTCTAGCTGCTGATAAAAGGCTCTTTAAATATACCAAAGCCACAAAAGCAGCTAGGAAATCAGTGGGAATGCTGACAACAAGGATATAAAAGGGGCAGATGGGGATGGTGATGGAGCAGAGAAAGTCAGTGATAATTTTGTGGCTGCTTTTACAGCTGAAGCTCTTGGGGAGTATCCCAGATCTGCCAGTCTGCAGGGGATCAGCTGGAGGAGCCGGAGCAATTGGAAGGAGAAAGGCAACACTGACTAAAGAGCTAACAGGAGTAAAGGTGAGTAAGTGAAGTAACTTTCACYGAGGTAAAAAGAGGGATGAGGTCAAATAGAAAAAATGGTTGTTAATAAGTGACCAGGCCCAGGCACTGATCCTGGGGACCCAAAGGAGCAGCACAGCCCAGAGCTGCAGTGTGGTACCCAGCTGTGTCCCCAGGCACAGTCAGCACMTCACACCCTCCAGACTCACTGAGGAGCCATCACTGATGGGTTCTCAAAGCCTTTGACACAGCCAAACAGCCACCAGAATTTGAGGGGTACACAATGCTAAAGAAGGTCAATGTAAGTACATAAATAAAACCACAGGCACAGATGGTAAACATTCTGCTGTCACAGGATGCTGTGGATGCTGAGTCTGTGGGTTCAAGAAGAGATTAGACAAACSCAAGGATGCTCATGCCTGAGAGAGATGTACTCCCTAACAAAAGGATGAGAAAGTGGGGCTGCTGGAGGAAGGAAGGGGCTGTGAAAGGAACTGGGCCCCCAGGACAATCTGTCCTGTTACACTCTCTGGAGCACAGCCTGGGGCTGGATGGACATCCTGGAGYAGAGGGACATTTCTCACCTTCTGAATGCTGTGCCCTGCTCTATTCAACAGCAGCATGGGCTGAAAGGTGGTGCCTGTGCCATATTCACAGAGTGGGTCTTGTATGCCCTGATTGTGCCCAGGCTGTTCATGGGATGTGGAGAGGCAGGGTAAGGTGCTGTACGGGGGGCTCTGCTGTTTATGTAAAAACGGCCTCATAAAAAAAAACAAAGTGAAAATTTCACAAGCAGTTAACTGAAAAAATCCAAAATGCTTCCTTTTTTGAGTCTGGAAGGTGCTGCCTTTCACACACAGGCTCCAAAGGGCAAGCTCTGGAGAGCAAACTCTATTCCTCTCCAGGA